CCCAAATTCTAAGAGTGCAACTAAAGCCCAAATAAAATCTAATGGTCCATTAACTAAAGCTCTAAATCTAATGGTCCATTAACTAAAGCCCCAAATCTAATGGTCCATTAACTAAACTACTAAAGCCCTAAATCTAATGGTCCATTAAGGCATTAACTAAAGCGGTAAACTGGTAAAGCCCCAAATCTCTGACCTTATTTGATTTAGGTTTAGGTTATACAAATTGATCATTCTTTTCTATTTATTGTTTAGTTGATTATTTACTATTTACTTGATTAATTGTTTAGGTTATACAAATGTTACTTGATTAATTGTTTAGGTTATACAAATGTTACTGCTACGGTTGAAAGATGCTTTTCGGCGAGGCTTTTATTCCACCCCACACCCAAGTCYRAATCATATTAGTGTCATTTTCTTAGTCAAACGGTGCCACCGTTTGAAAAAAATTTCCGTATATTTGTTTCTTATAGTCAAACGGTGTCATCGTTTGAAAAAAAAAATTCATATATTTTTTTCTTATGGTCAAATGGTGCTACCGTATAAAAAAAATTCTGGGTCCGTCCCTGAACGCATGGTGTCAAACACTAGTTGATTATTAAAATAACATAATGGGTTGAATGTTGAGGACTTTGGGATGACACAACGGCTAGAAGGTTGTCATAGACCTCCAGTCGTCGTATACACCAGCAACGGTACCAACGACGTGTGAAAACACACAACTACAACATGTCTGAACCTTTTACACATCCTTGAATAATAATAGATGTATTAACTTTGGAATAGAAACAAGAATCGTGAAGAAATCAAACAAAAGATTAAGAAAATCGAACATGCTATTACTTCAACGACAACGAGTTCTAGTGGTTAGTAAAACTTATTGTTGCTATGCATTTCAAACTTGTATAATGATGACTACAATATATTCTAAGCTTTGTTCTATATCATTTTTTGTTCCATGAAATTTGCTAGGAATTAATCAATGAGATTTTCTTAATAATATATGATCTTAAAATCAAAAAACGGAATTGAAGTTGTTAAGCGGTTAATCGTCGTCGTGCTTGTTGGAACAAGAGAGTGAGTACAGGAAGAGGGAGGCAGAATGATGGAAGGGACGGGACATGTGGCACCAGTCCTTGGTTTAATTAAAAAATAATTTTTAATTGTTATTGAAATGAACAAATGTCACTCACACGAAAAGAATAAGAGGACATTTAACGGTTAGATATTGATGACATTAGTTATAAGGACCAAATCCATTAGGAATGCAAACCATAAGGATGAAATCGATAATTATTTTATTCTATGAGACCCATTATATAATTTACACTAATGAAAGCATATGGACCGAACATGTAATTCACTCTATAAAATGTCCCTACGTATACACATCAATCAAGATATATGAATTTGTCATGCCGTGTCTTCTCTTTAAATTATCTTGTTCACTTCATGTCCCATCAGTCATTTAAATATAAATATACATATATATTATCTTTTTACTCGACATAAATTTATTTAATTTATCTTTTTTATCACTCATATAGAAATTATCCAGATTACATAATAACGCTGCTAAGTAAAGATGGGCATGAGCCCGTGGGAGAAAAGTTTGTTAGAGAAAGGTGATTTGGAAAAGGCCAGAACCGGTTACGATAAGGTAAATTACAAACCGATTATTGACTGGCGGTCTAGACTAGTCCGTAAGGATGTTCCCAGTTTGTTATAGGCAGTCTAACTCTCTTTTAACAAAGCGAACCATAAGTATTGGCTTAAGAAAATTTTAAATCGTACAGTTTGGCAATAACTAGATACTTTGTGGGAACTGCATGACTAACTTATATATGCAACTTGCAGGTCTCCTTTGCAAGTTGCCTACTTGCAGTTAATATATATTTGATGTTTCTAGGGTTTGTATTAGTCGACTATGTGTGATATTGTAAGTAACTTGTGATCTCACATTTGATTTGTATTAATACTAAGATTTTTCTTTCCCTAAGGATGTATATTGTGATCACAATGATAGTGGAACCACCTGAAATCAAGCTCATTTTATTTACTTGCTTTCAATATACATATTGCCTTTGTGCGTTGGTTATCACTTGGTTCATGATCATTGTTGTTGCCTGCCATTTTAAGCACGTGTTCGATTTGTATTGTTTCCTGATTGTTGTAGGGCTTGTGATATTGGATCTCACTTGCTCGTTTGGAACCTTAAGATCAAATTGATGGTATTTGATGACATTCTTAATCCTAGCAAAAACCGATTCCATTTTGATCTAATACTTATACAAGATATATAAACTATTATCTTCAAGATTCAAATCAACCACCATACCCACATAAATAGCATTGAATTAGTATGCAATCCAAAACGTTTAAATATTACAATTTCCTAAAGTACGAAGAAATATTTTTTTTTATCTTTTGACCATTCACAAATGATCCTCGTTATTTTATTCAACTATATTTTATTTTAATAGACCTTTCATTAAAATTTGAGTTCATATGATGCCATCCAGATAATTCTAACAGATCTTCCTAATTAATATTTTAATGAAAAATAGAAAAATAAATGCAAATTTGAGTATTAAATTAATGTTTTTTTATTAAATTTAAAAATTCAGGTGAATCCAAAATGATATGAGGTAATCATGTGCATTAGAATTTTCTTCTCAATAAGCCAAGGATTAGTCACGGGATGGAGTTCTTGATGATTAAATAACGACTTAATAATTGATGGTAGTTTAATAGATTTAAGTTGCTAGCTAATATGGATTTAAATTCATATTTAAAACCCAATGTTATTTTAATATTCCATGACGGACGCCTTAATTAATGCAAAATAAATTCTTATAACAGAGTAATTTAATTATATATTGATCAGCATTTTGCAAATTCTGACAAGTTAAGTTATTATCGGGCAACATTAACCCTTGGCATCTATTTATATGTTATGAGGGAGAATCTAACAAGAACAAAGTTAAATTCAGAAAGCAAGAAAAAGATTAAATCAAATGTGGTTTTACATAAAATCCGATCAACACAAGGTGAGCGGATGACTTGACCTCTGACGTCATGCCGCGGTCAAAGTCGCGTGAATTATATATGATTTACACTCGATTTTAGCGTAAAATCATATATGAATCAACCGTTTTCATGTTCTTTTATTTTATTATTGTTTTTATATAAATCTGACTTTATATGAATTATATCATAAATTTATAATTCTTACCATCTTTTATATGGTTGATGTACAAACATACAACTCTAAGATGTTAAAAGCTCTCATGATAGATTTTCTAAACCTAAAGAGGCAAGAACCTCTTAGTGAAAAGTTTTATTAAGAACTATTTTTATTTTTTTTATTGATTCATCATATTATCAAATTAAAAATTATATTATTTTCAAACGAATAAATACATCACGTAGTAGTAAATGGTGTGATGGGTTTCATTCCACCACACTTTAAACACTAACATTAGGGAAGTATAGGTCATTTATTCAGTCACGAAATGTTAGTACAATTTCATAAAATATTTTCTTAACATACGCGACCCAAATCAACAACCAAAAGTTTTGTACGTATGAAGATACACACATTTATGTATAATAATTCATTTCACAATAAGCAAGCGAGAAATTCAAACTAATTAAATACTTTTAACTAATCTTAAAATTCATAATAGATTGAGAAAGTCTACGGTTAGAATAACATAAATGATTACTTTTATTTACTTTTTCATATTTCAGTTTGTTTTATTTTCATTTGTTATCACTTCAAGTAAATGGAGCTTGCTATGACTTTTTAAGGTATTCCTTGGTTCTCACCTTCTTGAATCGATTCGAGTGGGATGATGCATCTATTTCTTTGCCTCTTTGTCAATAAATCAAAATTCCCGCTGAGAATGGCTGGATATCTGAGATTAAAACGACCAATACATGTGATTTGATTAAGCCGCGAACTCCTCCCATTGCTTGGGAGCTCTCAGGGCCGTCTGAGTCAGAGCAATCCCGCTGGGGGGATTTAGTTACCGGAATCAATTCCTATAATGTAAAAAAGAGCACTTTGAATATTTAATTTTTTAATATTGAATAGAATAATTGACTTGCTTATGCGATTTGAATTTCACATAAGAATCTAACGATCCTTAGTTTCAATCTGAAACTTGTGTGTATTGCCTATTCGATTACCAAATGTGTAAAGAACCTGATGGTAAACATTGAACCTTATGTAGATAAATTGGTGTTACAAGTCTCAAGAATTATATTTAATTTCTAATTGCTTAATAAATGAAACTCGAAGAAATAAAAATGTACAACCTTCAAAACAAATTGAATGTTTTCATCTTCTGAAGCCTGATGGAAGAATATTAATTCAAATTTCTTAGAATCCATGCCAAACATGTATGTGAGACTTTTTGGCATTCCTTCATTGACTTATCACTGTTATTCACCTAGTAATATAAAATTTAAAATCCAACCTCCAAAAAAAAAAACACACACACATATATATATATATATATATATATATGATTTCTTGATCTTTTTTATACCCATTTCAACATAATTAAGGAAGACTCATATAAAAGCAAATTAAGCACATACTTGAAATTAAATTTTCATTCCCACAAAACGATTATTAAACCATCATTACAAAGAAATTAAAATGCTTTTCGTAAATAGAAGATCAAAACAATAAACACTCACAATAAAATTTGAAAACAAATGCACACTGTAGGTTACATGCGTGGTAGATGATTTAAGCACATTGGAAGTCCTTTGGAACTTTCTTGCTACAAACATTGAGAAGCAAACTGAGAGACAGTGGGATGTTCAGATTGATCCCTAGAACATTAGCCTTGATAGCAGTACAAAGGCAAACGGCAGCCTCGAGATCAACAAGGCCTTCGATGAGGCTGCAGCATGGCTTAACTGGTGGGTTCCCAACAACAAGACCAAGTAAATTGCCAAGCACATTGGCACATACACCTAATTTAAGGGCGTCTCTGGGACAGGYTCCACTGGATGGCTTTGGTTTGGGAGTGGGGGTAGGACAGGTGGTGCAACCACTAGCAATGGCAAAGAAGAGAAGGTTGAGTGCCAAAAAGAGAGCTAGTGGAGTGTTGGTCTTTGAAGCCATCTCTTCGTAATTAACAAAGATGCTAGGATTAGTGAAGGGATGAAAGTAGAGGTAGGAGTTGTGGGGTTTAAATAGGGCAAAATGGGTGATTGTTTAGTATTTAGTCACTCACATGAAAGTTCATCATAATTATTTAATTTATTTTTTATATGTTTTATATCGATTAGAAAAAAATGAGATTTAATGCATGTGCTTGTTGGGCCAAGCAAATAATATTAAAAAGGTTGTGATCATGTGAATCAAGAATTTATTTTGTAGAGTTTATTTTGTAACTCTAGTTTTCAACCAATCCATATTATCATCATCGTACTTATCACTAATTAATATATCACACTTTTATCATCCATTTGCTAAGGGGTGTTTGGGATTACTTATCAACTTATTTCGTTATAGTACTGGTAATAAAAAGTTTTTAATGTTTGGATGAAGAAAAAAAGTAAATGCTTATACCGGTTTGGCACCGGTAATAAGGAGTTTCTAATAAGTTACTTCTCTCTAAATTATTAACTTATTCCGGTATGGTACCGGTGATAAGAAATTTTTAGTGTTTGGATGAGAAAAGAAAGGGTATCTTTCTTATTTTATCAACTTATCTAGTGTGGTAACGCCATAAGCTAATCCAAACACTTTTTATAAAAATTCAATTTGCCACCGTATAAGTTGATAAACACTTTACAAAGAAACATAAGATGTTTTAAATAAGCAATCCCAAAGACCCCCTAATCTACCATCCTTTGCCGCAAAATTGTGCTTAGGTCAACCGGACGCTGCCGAGCTAAATTACTTATCTAAACATTGTCTAAGGTAATATGTTTTATCAATCATGCATGAAAAGTTGCTTGGCCTCTTTACAAATTATTAATTGGGCAATGTTTGCTTACTCTCAAAATATTCCTTGTATTTTATGATTAATTATGTACATCGGTTAATTATTAATTACATCAAATTTTCATAATGAATGTGAAAATTAAATGAATGCGACAATTAAATCAATTAATGAAGGTCATATTTATGTCATAAAAATAAAAACACTGCTGAAATGTGTCATTTTGACTCCTTATATTGAAGTGGTCTTTATATAATAACATGCAATGGATTGAAAATGTGGATGATATTATGTAGGATAAAATACCTAACCTAAAAATAGAATGGAGTTTATGTATAATAATTCATTATACAACAAGCAAACAAAAAACTCAAACTAAATACCTTTATATAATCTTAAAAATTATAACCGATCGAGAAAGGCTAGAGTTAGATTAACATAAATGATTATTTTTATTTAGTTTTTCATATTTCACTTGTTTGTTTTATTTTTATTTGTTAGCATTCCAAGTAAATGGAGCTTTCTATAACTTTTTAAGGTATTCATTGCTTCTCATCTTCTTGAATCAAGTCGAGTGGGATGATAAATCTATTTCTTCGCCTCTTTGTCAATAAATCAAAATTCCCATTGAGAATGGCCGGATATCTGAGATTAAAACGACTAGTACATGTGATTCAATTAAGCCCCGGTCTGAGAGCTATAACTTTTTAAGGTATCCTTTGGTTCTCACCTTCTTGAATTGATTCGAGTGGGACGATGAATCTTTCTTCGCTTCTTTACCAATAAATCAGAATTCTCGTTGAGAATGGTTAAATATTTGAGATTAAAATGACCAGTACATGTGATTCGATTAAGCCCGGTCTCCTTCCACTACTTTGGAGCTTATGGTTTCATGTTCTAGTCTTAGAATATAGTTGAACCAAAACACATATTTTTTTAGTGATCATGTGAGAGCTTCTCAGGGACGTCTGAGTCAGAGCAACCCCACTGGGGCGATCCAGTTACCCGTAGTCAATTCCAGTATTGTAAAAAAGAACAATTTGAATATTAAAATTTTCAATATTGAATAGAATGTTTGACTTGCTTATGTTATTTGAATTTCGCATAATAATCTAACGATCCTTATGTGACGTTTGGTTTGCAAAATATTTTTGGATGGAATAAAATTTGTTAAAGTCATTTGACTTTGAAAAAATTGGAATGGAATGTTGTTAGATTTGACCACTTGTTTGGTTGGCAGACATTAAATGAAATCTGTTAAGGAATTAGAACATGTATGTTTGGTTCACAGAATATAGTTTGGGAATTTGAATGAAATATTGGTAAGATATAAAAATGATCTTTTATGAAAATTTTAATTTTTTTTAAAACTAAAAATACTTTAATAAAATAATTATTTAATATGTAGAAGAATATAAAATGCACAACCCGAATACAACCATAAGCCAAACGACGTTACTAAATCAATGGTGGTCAGCGATGGTGGTCCGCGGTGGTTCAGATAGAGGTGGTCAGTGGTGGTTCAGATCGTCGATGGCGGCGGTGGTTCAGATTGGTGGTTGCTCAAATTGTTGGTGGTCGGCAGTGTCCAACGGTGGTTCAGAACAGTGGAAGTGGTCAGTGGTCGGATGTGGTTCAAATCGGTGGTGGTTCAGATTGGGAGTGGTTCAGATCGGGGGTGGTTCAAATCGGGGATGAATCAGATCGGTGATGGTCGACGTTGGCCGACGGTGATTCAGATCAGTAGTTGGCGATGGTTCAGATCAATGGTGGTTCATATGGCAATGGTCGATAGTGGTTTAGATCGGTGGTCCATGGTGGTTCAAATGACGGAGATTGGCGTTGGTTCAGATCGACGGTGAATCAGATCTGTGGTGGTTCAGATTGGCGGTGGCCGACGGTGGTTCAGATCGGTAGTGGTCAGTGGTGGTAGTTAGTGGCGGTTCTGATGGCGATGGTCGAAGGCGATTTAGATTGCGTTGGTCGGCGGTGATCCAGATTTCGGTGGTCGGAGGTTGTCGACGACGATCATATTGAGTTTTATGAGATTATGGTATATTGAGTTAATGTCATATTTGGTATTATAAAGATAGAGAAATTTCATTCCATCAAAATACCATATAGTTGCTAAAAAATATTAAATTCTTTTATTTGTGAAATTTGTAGTATTTTAAATATTTCTTTCATGAAAAAAGAATGAACCAAAAGAGAGAATGAAATTTGGTCGATGAAATTCAACATTCTAATTCCATCAGATTTCTTCAGAATCTGCGAAACAAACGCCCTCTTAGTTTCAGTCTAAAACTTGTGTGTATTGCCTATTTAATTTCCAAATGTGTAAAGAACTTGATGGAAAACATTGAACCTCATGTCTCTTAATTGATGTTGCAAGTCTCAAGAATCATATTTAATTTCTCATTGCATAATAAATGAAACTCTGATGAAATAAAAATGTACAACCTTCAAAGCGAATTGAATGGTTCTCATCTTCTGAAGCTTGATGGAAGAATATTAATTCGATTTTTCTTAGAATCCATGCCAAACATGCATGTGAGACTTTATGACATTCCTTCATTGACTTGTTGCTGTTAATTCACCCAGTAATATAAAATATAAAATCCAACCTCCAAACATATATATATATATATATATATATGTGTGTGTGATTTTCTGATCATTTTTATATCCATTTCAACAGAATTAAGGAAGACTCATATAGAAGAAAATTAAGCACATACTTGAAACTAAATTTTCATTCCCACAAAACGATTATTAAACCATCATTACAAAGAAATTAAAATGCTTTTTGTAATAGAAGATCAMAACAATAAACACTCACAATAAAATTTGAAAACAAATGCACACTGTAGATTACATGCCTGATAGATGATTTAAGCACATTGGAAGTCCTTTGGAACTTTCTTGCTACAAACATTGAGAAGCAAACTGAGAGACAGTGGGACGTTCAAATTGATCCCCAGAACATTAGCCTTGATAGCAGTACAAAGGCAAACGGCAGCTTCGAGATCAACAAGGCCTTCGATGAGGCTGCAGCATGGCTTAACTGGTGGGTTCCCAACAACAAGACCAAGTAAACTGCCAAGCACATTGGCGCACACACCTAATTTAAGGGCGTCTCTGGGACAGGCTCCACTGGATGGCTTTGGTTTGGGAGTGGGGGTAGGACAGGTGGTGCAACCACTAGCAATGGCAAAGAAGAGAAGGTTGAGTGCCAAAAAGAGAGCTAGTGGAGTGTTGGTCTTTGAAGCCATCTCTTCGTAATTAACAAAGATGCTAGGATTAGTGAAGGGATGAAAGTAGAGGTAGGAGTTGTGGGGTTTAAATAGGGCAAAAGGGGTGATTGATTAGTATTCAGTCACTCACATGAAAGTTTATCGTAATTATTTAATTTATTTTTTATATGTTTTATATTGACTACTTGTAATGCTTTAGTTTTCCAGAAAAAAAATGAGATTTAATGCATGTGAACGTTGGGCCAAACAAATAATATTAAAAAGGTTATGCTCATGTGAATCAATAATTTATTTTGTAGAGTTTATTTTGTAACTAATTAATATATCACACTTTTATCATCCATTCGCTAAGGGGTGTTTGAGATTGTTAGTTAAAGTGCTTATTAACTTATTTCGTTGTGACACCGGTAATAAAAAAAATTAGTGTTTGGATGGGGAAAAAAGTAAATGCTTATACCAGTTTGACACCGGTAATAAAGAGTTTTTAATAAGTTACTTCCTTCTAAATTATTAACTTATTCTAGTGTGGTACCGGTAATAAGAAGTTTTTAGTGTTTGGATGAGAGGAAAAAAAAAAGTATCTCACCTATTATATTAACTTATCCGGTGTGGTACCGCCATAAGCTAATATAAACACCTTTTATAAAACTTCAGTTTGCCACCGTATAAGTTGATAAACACTTTACAAAAAAGCACAAGTTGCTTTAAATAAACAATACCAAACACCCCCTTAATCTATCATCCTTTGCCGTAAAATTGTGCTTAGATCAACCGGACGACTGAACCTAAACATTGTCAAGGTGATATGTTTTATCAATCATGCATGGAAAGTTGCTTGGCTTCTTTACAAATTATTAATTGGGCAATGTTTGTTTACTCTCAAAAAATATTCCTTGTATCTTATAATTAATTATGTATATCGGTTAATTATTAATTACATCAAATTTTCATAATGAATGTGAAAATTAAATGAATGTGACAATTAAATAATGCTTCATTAAATCAATTAATGAAGGTCATATTTATGTCATAAAAATGAAATACACTGCTGAAATCTCACTTTGACTCCTTATATTGAAGTGGTCTTAATATAATAGCATGCAATTGATTGAAAATGTGGATGATATTATGCAGGATAAAATACCTAACCTAAAAATAGAATGGAATTTATGTATAATAATTCATTATACAATAAGCTAACAAAAAACTCAAACTAAATACCTTTACATAATCTTAAAAATTATAACTGATCGAGAAAAACTAGAGTTAGATTTACATAAATGATTATTTTTATTTAGTTTTTCATATTTCACTTGTTTGTTTTATTTTCATTTGTTATCATTTCAAGTAAATGGATTCGAGTGGGATGATAAATCTATTTCTTCGCGCTCTTTGCCAGTCAATCAAAATTCCCATTGAGAATGGCCGGATATCTGAGATTAAAACGACCAGTACATGTGATTCGATTAAGCCTCGGTGTGAGAGCTATAACTTTTTAAGATATTTGTTGGTTCTCAACTTCTTGAATTGTTTCGAGTGAGATGAATAATCTATTTCTTCGCTTCTTTGCCAATAAATCAGAATTCTCGTTGAGAATGGTCGGATATCTGAGATTAAAATGACCAGTACCATGTGATTCGATTAAACCCGGTTTCCTTCCACTGCTTTGGAGCTTATGGTTTTATGTTCTAGTCTTAGAATATAGTTGAACCAATACACCTATTTTTTTAGTGATCATGTGAGAGCTTCTCAGGGCCGTCTGAGTCAGAGCAACCCCACTGGGGCGATCCAGTTACCCGTGGTCAATTCCTGTATTGTAAAAAAGAACAATTTGAATATTAAAATTTTCAATATTGAATAGAATGTTTGACTTGCTTATGTGATTTGAATATCGCATAATAATCTAACGATCCTTAGGTGACGTTTGGTTTACATAATGTTTTTGGATGAAATCAAATTTGTTAATGGAATTTGACTTTGAAGAAATTGGAATGGAATGCTGTTAGGTTTGACCACTTGTTTGGTTGACAGACATTAAATGGAATCTGTTAAGGATTTAGAATCTGTCTGTTTGGTTCACAGAATGTAGCTTTGGAATTTGAATGAAAATATTGGTAAAAATAATTAAAATGGTCTTTTTTTGAAAATTTTAATTTTTTTAAAACTAAAAATACTTTAATAAAATAATTATTTAATATGTAGAAGAATATAAAATGCACAACCCGAATATAACCATAAGCCAAACGACGTTACTAAATCGATGGTGGTCAGCGGTGGTTCAGATTGGTGATGGTCCACGGTGGTTCAGATCGGTGGTGGTCCGTAGTGGTTCAGATCGATGGTGATCCGCAGTGGTTCAGATGAAGGTGGTCGGTGGTGGTTCAGATCATCGATGACGGTGGTGGTTCAGATTAGTGGTTGTTCAAATTGTTGGTGGTCGGCAGTGTCCAGCTGTAGTTCAGATCAGTGGTAGTGGCCGATGGTCGGATGTGGTTCAAATCGGTGGTGGTTCGGATTGGGGGTGGTCTAGATCGATGGTGGTTCAGATCGGGGGTGTTTTAGATCGGGGGTGAATCAGATCGGTGATGGTCGACGGTGGCCAACGGTGATTCAGATCAGTAGTTGGCGGTGGTTTAGATTGATGGTGGTTCGTGGTGGTTCAGATGGCAATGGTCGATAGTGGTTCAGATTGGCGGTGGTCCGTGGTGGTTCAGATGACGGAGATTGGCGTTGGTTCAGATCAACGGTGAATCAGATCTGTGGTGGTTCAGAATGGCGGTGGCCGATGGTGGTTCAGATCGGTAATGGTCGGTAGTGGTTCAGATCGGTAATGGTCAGTGGTGGTTCAGATTGGTGGCGGTTCATATTTTGAGTTAATGGCATATTTGGTATTATGAAGATAGAGAATTTCATTCTATCAATATACCATGTAGTTGCTAAGAAATGTTAAATTATTTTATTTGTGGAATTTGTAGAATTTTGAATATTTCTTTCATGAAAAAAGAAAGAACCAAAAGAGGGAAAGAAATTTGGTCAATGAAATTCAACATTCTAATTCTATCAGATTTCTTCAGAATCTGCGAACCAAACGTCCTATTAATTTCAATCTGAAACTTGTGTGTATAACCTCATGTCGATTAATTGATGTTGCAAGTCTCAAGAATCGTATTTAATTTCTCATTATATAATAAATGAAACTCGATGAAATAAAAATGCACAACCTTCAAAGCGAATTGAATGGTTCTCATCTTCTGAAGCTTGATGGAAGAATATTAATTTGATTTTCTTAAAATCCATGCCAAACATGCATGTGAGACTTTATGACATTCCTTCATTGACTTGTTGATTCACCTAGTAATATAAAATATAAAATCCAACC